TCAGGATCGGGCAGAAATCCGATGTTAATTTAGTTGATAAATTGACATTGATCAACCAAGGTCAAGGTGGTGAGTTTAGGATTGATGAAAATGATGTTATGAGATTTGGCGATAGAGTTTGTGTTCCTGATGTTGCAGAAATCAAGAAGAGTATATTAGAGGAAGGACATCGCAGTGGGATGAGTATTCATCCGGGTGCCACGAAAATGTATCATGATTTAAAGAAATTGTTTTGGTGGCCGGGAATGAAAAAGGAAATAGCTGAATTTGTGTATGCATGTCTAATCTGTCAGAAATCGAAGATTGAACATCAGAAGCCGTCTGGATTTATGCAACCAATGTTTATTCCAGAATGGAAGTGGGATAGTATTTCTATGGATTTTGTATCTGGGTTGCCGAGGACTCCTATGAATTGTGAAGCGATATGGGTCGTTGTGGATAGGTTGACTAAGTCTGCTCATTTTATACCGGTGCGAATGGATTACTCGATGGAGAGATTGGCACAGTTGTATATTGAGAAAATAGTGAGTTTGCATGGAGTTCCTTCTAGTATTGTGTCAGATAGAGATCCGAGATTCACTTCGAAATTTTGGGAAGGATTGCAGAAGGCTTTGGGTACTAAATTGAGGTTGAGTTCAGCTTACCATCCTCAGACTGATGGACAGACGGAGAGAACGATTCAATCATTAGAAGATTTATTGCGTGCTTGTGTTTTGGAGCAGGGTGGAGCTTGGGATAGCTATTTGCCATTGATTGAATTTACTTATAACAATAGTTACCATTCGAGTATTGGTATGGCTCCGTTTGAGGCATTGTATGGTAGACGGTGTAGAACACCTTTGTGTTGGTATGAATCTGGAGAGAGTTCGGTAGTTGGGCCAGAGATTGTTCAGCAGACTACCGAAAAGATCAAATTGATTCAAGAGAAGATGAGAGCTTCTCAGAGTCGTCAGAAAAGTTATCATGATAAAAGGAGAAAGAATTTAGAATTCAGTGCTGGAGATCATGTGTTTATGAGAGTCACTCCGATGACGGGTATTGGTCGGGCGTTGAAGTCTAAGAAGTTGACTCTGCGTTTTATTGGTCCGTTTCAGATTACGGAAAGAGTTGGAGAAGTTGCTTATCGCATTGCTTTACCTCCGAGACTTGCGAATTTGCACGATATTTTTCATGTTTCTCAGTTGAGGAGATACATTCCAGACCCATCTCATGTAATCCAAATAGATGATGTACAGGTAAGAGATAACCTGACAGTAGAAGCATTGCCTATGAGGATAGAAGATCGGGAAGTGAAACAGTTAAGAGGTAAAGAGATAGCATTAGTGAAGGTTGCTTGGGGAGGTCCAGCAGATGGAAATATCACTTGGGAGCTGGAGAGCCAGATGAAAGAGGCTTATCCGGAGCTGTTCGTTTAAGGTATGTTTTCGAGGACGAAAACTCTTTTAGTGGGGGAGAGTTGTAACACCCCGTTTTCAATTAATTGATTTATTTAAATTTGGGAATTTATTTTATTAGAATTAATAAAATAAAAAGAATTATTTATTTTGGAGTATTTGAGGAAAAATAAAAGAAATAAGAAATGTTGGATTTTTATGTTATTGGGCTTAGATGTTGTTAGTAAAGAGTGGGGGTGCAGAGAAATAAAGTTATGTTTGGGACTTAGGCCATTTTCTCATTTTGGTTTTCACGTAAGAACAGAAGTTGGAATTTGGGAAAAGAGAGCTCTGAAGAACGGAGAACGAAGAACATCGCTCAAGAACTCAAAGCTGCTAATTGATAAGGTAAGGGGGGTTTATACTCGATTTATATTTGTTTATGGGTTTATGTACGGTTGATTCGGGTAATTGTAGGAAAATCCCAATTGTTAGATGTTTCTAGGGATCGATAACCGTAGGACTGAACCTTGTTAGAAAAGGGTTAGGTTCCCAATTTTATGAATCGATTAAGAGTTTTAGGTCCCAAATGAGGAATTGGGAGTATATATCATGATCGTGAATTTACCTTGGAAGTTGTAGGGATAACCTCAGTGTCAGTAGAATTCCCCAAAAGGACGGTTAATCCCCGATTAAGGTTATTATAATAAGTGTTGGTAACTTGGATATTGTGGTGTTGTTGTGAATTGTACAAACTCGATGCGTTAGGTACTGAAATGCGCGTTTTGGCGGACGTTTTCCCGCGTTTGGACTGCCGTTTCTGAGCTGCTGCAGGTTCAGGAAAATCCTGTACGCGCTCAGCAACACGGGCCGTGTTGCACAACACGGGTGCCCGTGTTGCTCTTCTGAGTTGGGGGATGGTGTGCTTCTGGTTGCACGACACGGGCCGTGTTGCACAACACGGGTACCCGTGTCAGATCCCCTGTACTGATAAAAATAAAATGTGCGTTTTTCTGGACGTGCTGCACAACACGGGCCGTGTTGCACAACACGGGTGCCCGTGTTGCTCTGCTGTGATGATTTTCTGAATTTTTGGTTTCAGTGTTTTGATGTTGGATTTTTATTGCCATGCTTTTAGATATGTTATCGAGCATGAATTATGATATAATTGATGTGATTGGTTGATGTTTGAATAGTATGCTGAGTGATTACATGCTATTCGTAACTTGATATGATTGATGTTTAAATGGTATGCTGAGTGGTTACATGCTATTTCATATCATGTTATGTTTGATATTGTTGATGTGCATGATATGTTGATCGATGTTCATAGTATGCTGAGTGTTACATACTTACATATCATGTTGCATTTGTTAATTCCCATTGTGTGGAATTAACATGGTGGCCAATATACGTGTCCGCGATTTAATGGAACGTTGAGGTGGTAGCCGTGTCCGCGATATAATGGAACGGTGAGTTATCCGTGACCCGAGATTTAATGGGGCGGTGAAGTGGTACCACATGCATGGGTGTGTTGCATTACTCGAATATAACATGAATGGATGATTTTTCCAATGTTATATTTGATTGTTTGTATGCACGTATGATTTGATAAATGGTTGATGATGTTTAATGAATATTTGCAAATATGAAAGGCAATATGTCATGGATATATGAATTGTAAAGGTTTTGTAAACTATGAAATATGCTAATTATTGGGTGATGCTTATGATTTCGTGAATTGATTGTTATGAATGTATAACCAAATGTATATTTGAGGAGCTCACCCTTACTGTTGAATATTTCAGATTAAGGAGCTTCGTTCAGGTGCTTGGCGAAGGCTTATCGTGTCTAGTTTAGTTTCGTTTTAGTATGTCCGGGTCATGCTCTGATAGTTGTAACTCCGGGAACGTTTGGTTGTCGAGCTGCTTTAGTCAGACTCGTTTACTTTCTTTTAATGGTTATAATATGATGTTGACTTTCCAGGTGTTAATCCCTGATGATTTGGAAATTATTATAACATTTGATTTTATTAAATAAATTATTCCGCTGTGTAGACATGTATGAGTTACCACTAAAATTATGCATGACAGGAATTTATTTTATTAAAAGAGAATTGTAGCATTCCTCGATTATTACATGTACTCTGAGTTTATAATTTTTAATATTTGCGAAAATTTATTCGGGGTTTTAGAGGGTGTTACACTTTGCGCAATATATCTGCTCGTTTTGCGTTGAGTGGAGTATAGACCTCAGGGATGTTGTCGTAAAGCCTTCAGGAAGGTCTTATTGTTGGTCTATCTCTGGTGATGATCTTTCCTTGGCTCGGGTCCCTCTTGCCTTGTTTGATACCTTTCTTTAGTATCTCTGGACCTATTTTCCATTTACTTTCCTCATCCTTGAGATGACATTTGGTCCAATTTATTACTTCGTCCTTACTGGAGGTCAATTTCTGTGTCAGAGACTCATTGAAATGGTAGGCCTTTAAGACGTTCTGGAAGGCTCCCACAAACATTTCTTGATTTAGGTGTGAAACCTTTATGGTTTCTTCGTTGAATTGCGCCATGTATTCACATAGAGACTCAGAGGGGCACTGTCGTACATTGAACAGGCCGGTGGTAGACACCATTATGTGCTTACTGGACGCAAAATGCTGCACCATCTTCCTAGTTAAGTTTTGGTAACTGGTAATCAAGAATTTCAGTAGGTTCATATACCAACGCAAGGTCAAGTCCTTGAGCATTCCTGCTATTAGTTTGCACTCCAAAGAGTCAGAGACATCGACGATCGCCATTTAATTGTTAATTGAGATGATATGCTCCAGCATATCACTCTTGTCATTGAAGGATGCCAAGGGTGGTTGTTTGAAGTTTAGAGAGCCTAATTTCGTTTCTTAATGAAAACAAATGTCCACTTTACCTGATTGGATGATGTGGTCTATTCTACCTCCTCCTCAAATGTTGTAAGAGATAAGATTCATTGATCACCAATTTTGTTCGCCTCCCTCGTGGTCTTATAGTTAGAACATGTATTACTTTTCTTAAAATAACATTACAATAAATGTTTAGAAATAAAGGTATATAAATATCATTACAATAAAATGTGTTTTTTAAAATTGAATATCCTTTGTGGACAGCAGAAATTAATTCTTTGAGTAGAGGTGAACCACAATGTGCGGTAAAACTTCCTCACAAAATAATTTAAAATTGGTACGTGTTCAAGGGTGGGTTTAAACTTAGAACTTCTAATTAAACTATTGAAAATGATCCCTTGCCATTTCATACCAATGCTATTGGGTATATGATAAGATTGTTGAGTGGAAATCTCTTTCTCCATTTTTGGATCTTATGTTCAACTAATTAAGAATCTTTATCACAATAGATGAGGTCACAAACATGAACCTTTGGGATATACCATGAGCTCTTTCCCTTAGTCAGAAGAAGCGGCGAAATGGATTATGTTAGTTAATCATGTTTAATTAATTAATTATCCATTGGGAACCCAATTGGCTCTTAGTTTCATTGTCAACGCTTTTCCATACTATAAATACAACACACCCCTTCCTTCATTCTTCACAACCAATTCATTCATCACTTCCATATAACTATAATTCGTTATTACTCAACAATGTCTGATATTGAGGGATCACCAGGAAGCTCCATGCATGGAGTTACAGGAAGAGAACAAACCTTCCTTTCATTAGTTGCTTCCCCAATGGTTCCAACTGACACCACTGCCAACTTTGCATTACCAGTTGATTCTGAGCACAAAGCCAAAGTTTTCAAACTCTTTTCATTAGCCAATCCACACATGAGAACCTTCCATTTATCATGGATATCTTTCTTCACTTGTTTCGTCTCCACTTTCGCAGCGGCACCACTAGTCCCTATCATCCGCGACAACCTTAACCTCACGAAAGCAGACGTTGGTAACGCTGGTGTTGCTTCCGTTTCAGGTAGTATTTTCTCAAGGCTAGCAATGGGTGCTGTGTGTGACCTATTAGGTCCACGTTACGGTTGTGCTTTTCTTATTATGTTAACTGCACCGACAGTGTTTTGTATGTCATTTGTTGAAGATGCTGCTGGTTACATAGCAGTTAGGTTTATGATTGGTTTTTCATTGGCAACATTTGTTTCATGTCAATATTGGATGAGTACAATGTTTAATAGTAAGATAATTGGTCTTGTGAATGGTACTGCTGCTGGTTGGGGTAATATGGGTGGTGGTGCCACTCAACTTATTATGCCTTTGGTTTATGAATTGATTAGAAGAGGTGGTGCTACTCCTTTTACTGCTTGGAGAATTGCCTTTTTTATCCCTGGTTGGTTGCATGTTATCATGGGTATTATGGTCTTAACATTAGGCCAAGATTTACCTGATGGTAACCTTGGTGCTTTACAGAAAAAGGGTAATGTTGCTAAGGACAAGTTCACAAAGGTTAGTTATATTACTTACTTAATTTGAATAATTATAGTAAAATCTGAAAGTAATTAATTAATTAATTTTGCTTTGGATTTTTTGTTTTCAGGTGTTATGGTATGCTATAACAAATTATAGGACATGGATATTTGCCCTACTTTATGGTTACTCTATGGGAGTTGAGTTAACCACTGATAATGTTATTGCTGAGTATTTCTATGACAGGTTTAACCTAAATCTACACACAGCTGGTATCATTGCTGCATCTTTCGGAATGGCGAACCTAGTTGCTCGTCCTTTCGGCGGATATGCATCAGATCTTGCAGCGAGATTATTCGGCATGAGAGGAAGACTATGGACACTATGGATCCTCCAAACGCTCGGAGGAGTTTTCTGCATATGGTTAGGCCGAGCCAACACACTTCCAATTGCAGTATTATCCATGATTCTGTTCTCAGTAGGAGCACAAGCTGCATGTGGTGCAACATTTGGAATCATTCCTTTCATTTCAAGAAGATCTTTGGGTATTATATCAGGTTTAACAGGTGCTGGTGGAAACTTTGGTTCTGGATTAACCCAGTTGATATTTTTTTCAAGCTCAAAATTCTCAACATCAACCGGTCTTTCTTTAATGGGTGTAATGATTGTAGCTTGCACACTTCCTGTGAGTCTTGTTCATTTTCCACAGTGGGGTGGGATGTTGTTTCCAGCGTCAAAAGAGATAAATGAAGAACACTATTACACATCTGAATGGAATGAGGATGAAGTGCAGAAAGGGTTGCATCAACCAAGTCTTAGGTTTGCTGAGAATAGTCGTTCTGAGAGAGGAAAGCGTGTGGCTTCTGCAGCAACACCACCAAATACAACTCCTAACCACTAGCTAGTTTAAGTTTAAAGGGTTAATGGATTTGTCAGTTTGAGTAAGTTAAGTTTTCTTTTTTTCAACAAAAGACAGAGTTCTAAAAGGAAATAATATTGGACTAATGTTTTACACCGTTGAAATTCCTACATAGATTTTGTGTATTTTTTTCCTTTGAAGTGAATCCTTTAAAATATTAATTAGTAAGATATAATGAGTTGTGTGAGGTACTCCTAAGATGATTATTTTAATGAAAGTTAGTTAATTGTAATTAATTTTTTGATTTCATGTTCAATTAAAATAAAATTTATTATAATATTTTAGTTATATTTGATAAATCAAAAATCAACATTAAATGATTTTTGTTTATAATAGTAATTAAGATTTAAAGTTTTTTTTTTTGTTTATAATAGTGACAGAGAAGAGAGAGGAGAGAGTATATGTATGTAATATCGGTCCCCAGAGCACACATTCATGTATTCAGAAATATGTAATAGTCTGATCAAGCTCGAACAACATTATTTAAAGTTGATAATTCTGAACAAATTATTTCTTAACCCCTGGATCGAGATCAAACGGCCACTATCAACTTGACAGTGTGAATGTGGGAAATATTTGAAAGTCGAGGATTAAGTTTCATAATATCCTTACATTGAATATTCTATCATATATAGTGCTGACAATTGGGAAGTAAATAAAGATTTAGGTGTAATACGTCACAACACAAATCTTAATGGGACTAATATTGTTGTAAATCATTTATATTTTAGAAATGTCTTGTTGACTAAGTTTGTTAGAGGGTATTTTAATATTTTATTATACCCTAAGATTAGTGTATAAATAGCCTAATAATAGGTGGATAAATGTAATTCATTACTCCTTATTTTGTAACCGTCATTCAATATTATTTTTTTGCCTTTCATCTCTCATTTATGCACCAATAATTGGTATCTAGAGCTCCGGCTTGAAATCCACGAAAAACACGAGTGAATAGTGAGGTGTTGTGTGATTGAGAATCATATTTTTCCGATTCTGTGGGATTTGGGAAACACTATGTGTTAGTGAATTTTGAGTGAACTGCACAAGGTTGAAGATGAACGGAAACGATGGCGATATCAATTCCAAGCTTCCATTGTTTGATGGAAAAAACTGGAATCGTTGGAAGATTCAGATGCATGTGTTGTTCGATTCTCAAGATGTGTTAGATCTTGTCACCGATGGCTATGCTTCATTAACAGCAAACGCGACAGAGGCATAAAAGACAATGCAGAAGGCGGTAAGAAAGAAAGATCATAAAGCAGTATTCTACATCCATCAATGTGTGGATGCGTGGGACACACTGGTCAAATGTTACGGTGGTGACGCATCAGTGAAGAAGGTGAAGCTTCAATCCCTAAGAAATCAATATGAGAATCTCAACATGAAGGACAAGGAGAAGTTTTTTGAGTACATCTCTAGAGTAATTATAATCACTAATGAGATGAAAGCTTGTGGAGAAACCATTTCTGAACAAGTAATCATAAAGAAGATATTGAGATCTTTAACTTCTCAGTTTGATTACATTGTGGTAGTAATTGGACATTCCAAAGATCTAAGCACCATGAGAGTTGAAGAGCTGCAAAGTAGTCTAGAAGCGCATGAGTTGCATATGACTAAGAGAACTTCTGAGAGGGAAGTAGAGCAGCATGCTTTGAAAGCAACTTCTGGTAAGAAGTATCAGAAGCAGACTTGGTCAAAATCAAGAAAGAAAACTAATGATGGTCAGAGGTCAGAAGCCTCAACCTCTGATAGGAGGAAGAATATCCAGAAGGGAAAGGAGAAGTCTGACAAGAAGAATGTTCAGTTTTACTGTTGCAAGAACTTTGGTTATTATGCCAAATATTGCTGGTTAAACAAAGAAAGGAAGTCAAAAGAAGCAAATATAGACAGAGGAGAGTCAGATGATGAACCTGTGCTATTATTGGCTTCTGAATCTGATGATATGAATTCATCAAAATGGTGGTATATAGACACAGGGTGTTCAAACCATCTTACTGAAAATAAGAAATGGTTGGTTGATTTTGTCTCTGGGAACAGTATAAAGATTAGATGTGCTGATGATAAATACCTCAACGTAGAAGGTATGGAAATGTCAGAGTCATTCTAAATAATGGGAAAGTAGCAGTGATCCATAATGTGTGGCATGTACCTGGCATGAAAAGTAATCTGATGAGTATGTGATAACTGATTGAGAAAGGTTTTTTAGTTACCATGAAAGACAATCTTCTGAAGTTGTATGACTGTAATCAGAAGCTGATTATGGAGTCAGAACATGGAAGGAACAAAACATTCAAGGTGAATGTGAGAACTGCAGACTCTGAATGTCTTAGTGCAACAAGTGTTGTCAAGGAAATTGATTTGTGGCACAGAAGATTTGGAAATATGAATTTCAGAAGCTTAGGGCACCTACAATCAAATAAGCTGGTACATGGAATTCCTACAATCAAGAAGCCTGAGAAGTCATGCAAGGTGTGCATGGAAGGGAAGCAACCAAGATTGCCATTTGCATCAGAAGTAGCTCCAAGAGCAAAGTATGCCTTGGGAGTAGTGCATTTTGATGTGTGTGGTCCATTTCCAGAAGCATCGATCGGAGGGAATAAATATTTTGTGTCATTTGTTGATGAGTTCACCAGAATGATATGGGTATCTCTCGTAAATTTCAAACACGAGGTGTTTTCTGAATTCAAGAAGTTCAGACTGAAGGTTGAGAATCAGAGTGGCCAGACTCTGAAGATTCTTAGAACTGGTGGTGGTGGTAAGTATAACTCCACAAAGTTTAGAAGATTCTGTGAGGAGAATGGAATTGAGCATGAGATTACTTCTCCCTATACTCCTCTACACAATGGTCTTACTGAAATAATAAGTCGTACTTTGCTTGATATGGTGAGAAGCATGCTGAAAGAGAAAAAGCTTCCTCATACTTTATGGGGAGAAGTTGTTGCCACTGCACGTTATGTTCTTAACAGATGTCTAACGAAGAAGATGAAGGAAATAGTTCCTATTCAGAAGTGGACTGGAGAAAATCAAAGTGTTAGTCATCTGAAGGTGTTTGGTTCTGTATGTTACAAACATGTCCCAGAAGCCAAAAGATAGAAGCTGGATGATAGAAGTAAAGTAATGTTACTGGTGGGGTACCACAGTACTGTTGGTGTAAGCCCTAGAGGCTAATACTTTGGGTACTTGTAACGAATTATTTATTAATAATAAAAGGCATTTATTTATTATGTTTGATTTTCCAAAATAATAAAGTCCCTAGAATAGTTCGTCTGTTTAATGAAATATTAAGTGTGACTTAATCATGAGATTCCATTAAACATAAGAACATTATTCTTAAAGTATTTGTAGTCGAGCTTTATTGCGAAGTGGGATAACATTAAAGCATTGAGATTATTATGAAGATATACTAATGATCACACCTTATGGATCATAGATAAGAAGTTATCAAGTCTTGACATATGTATGAATATTAGGAGTAATATTTATACTGGATTGACCTGCTATGAGAATACTACATAGAATGTTATGCAAGGTTTCATAAGTTATTCTCATGGTGATAATGGTGTATATCACTATTCGACCTGAAACCACTATGGATCCTAGATGTAGAGTTAAGTACTTTATTTTTGATCAAACGTTATTCGTAACTGGATGAGCATAAAGACAGTTGATGGGTACTTCACAAAGCATGATGAGGGACATGAGTGACTGTGATATAGTGGCAGAACCGACAGTTTATACTGGTTTTGAATTTTTTATTCGCAAATGTGCGGTAAGCAAGAGTCTCCATCGAATTTTCTTTATCCAACAAGGAAAGGTTGAAAAGAACAGAAAAAAACCTTTTCGATATGTTTTCTGAGTAAGGGGGTAGATTATGGAAAGGGAAGGTGTTAGCACCCTTTCCATCCGTGGTTTTCCACGAGCTCTTAAAGGTTTGTTCATTTTTAAATACCTTTGTGCTTTGTGTAATGATGTTCTCAAAATAAATGAGATTATATTGTATGCGATATGTAGGTGCATGCCATGATATAGTAATATGGAATGCTGTTGCGATATCCCCTAGTCTGGGAAAGTAAATCCCTGACTGTTGTTGGAGAGTACTAGAAAGCTGAATCCCTGACTGCTTTTTGGTAGATGAGGAGAGTGATTCTTTCATTTCCGCTGGGGATGATGAACGAAGATGATTTGTCGAGGATTTTTGACTCCTGCTTAAGAATGACTCTGGGGAGCAAGATGCTCTGTCGGAAGATTTTACCGATGTAGAGAAATAAACTCTGTTGGGGGATAAACTTCCGCAGGTAGAGAAATGAACTCTACCAGGGGATAAGGCTTTATAAACTGTTTGAGGTTTGTAAAAGTCAGTTGGGGATCTTTGAGTTAACCTTTCTGAGGGAACTTCGCTGGAGGAGGTAATTCCTGTTTGGGGAAGAAGAGATCAAATTTTGGTTGTTTCCACCCTGTGGGGAACATAGACATCACTGGGTCATATGCAAAGGATGTAGTGGTGACTTCGTCTCAAGACGTTTCTGCCCATATACCTGCTGGAAAGAGTAACTGTCGGGACTACAAATGGATTTTTTAGATTTTGCCCCGTTTCTTAAAGTCATCTGCAACTATCTTTCTATTTCTTATACAAGTATTTGTAAACAGTAATCATATTCAAATACATATGTAAAAAATAATCACTGGACGTTTTTGCAAAACAAAATAGAAAAATAGAATACAAACGGTTTTGTTCTTTCAAAGAAATGATTTGCATTGATCTTGAAGTTTGCCTATAACAGACATTTTTATACAAAGAGAGTGACGTTCTAGTAGGAGAACACCGTCGTGAAAATGAAAATTATACAAAATATTGTACAAATAGAAAATAGTTATGTGTAATAATCCCATTGAGTTTCAATTCTGCTATTGCCCTTATGTCTTTGAGTGTCTCATCACTTTGCTACTTGTCCGAAGCTGACTGGATTGATCGGTACCGTTTG